CATAATAAATAACTCGTTCTGACTTCTAAACAAGCATTTGTGAGGTTTCAAGGATGCTCTGGAATGCAAAATTCCTTGAGTCTCTTTCGCTTACACCATTTCGTTTTGGATACAGCCTGCCTCTGGTTCACTTAAACGTGTAACAGGAAACTGGGATCTGAGCTGCAGGTAGTGTTACGTTACTGCCGGTTCTGGAAGGAAACCTTTTTAGAAGTAAGAAGCGAAGGGGAAGGATTTCTCCTCTCCATCTGCGGCAGACAGCTGCTCGCTGCCTGGAATCTGTGGTAGCAGACACTCAGAGCAGCACCACGCTGAAGTAAACACTGCGGAAATCTAATTTCTTTAATTGCACTGACAGTGTAGAAGTACTCTCAATATGATAGTTGCCGTGTGATAAACCGAGTCATCTGATTAAATGCTGGAAGCTAAACAGGCAGTTGTCATCCATTTCATTAAAAAATGTATTTTGTTGAAATACTTTAAATACTCTAAAAACTTTAAAAAAAAAAACCCTAAAACCATCAGGAAGACTCACGAGAGCTGTGTGTGTACACCCACGTGCTGCACGGCCAGGTGTCTGAATGCTCAGCACAGGTTAGAACTTGAAGTAACCATCCAAGCCAATATGCATACAAGAAATAAGCCAAGATAGAAGATATGGCCCCATCGGGCCATAAAAAGCTTTGACAGTTTTACAGACTGCCGTGTTGGAACCGCCATTAAAAGCAACTCCCCACAGCTTTCTGCCTTCACACAACCACCATCCCATGTCACTGAGCCTCACTGCTGCCCCAGCTCAGCACCCCCTGCCCGGCCCCACAAACCTCCCCCACACCTGCCCAGCATTTTTAAACAAGGGTTTAAGGTCTGTGCAATTCACTCTGCAGCAATTGTGACCTGCAAGGAGGAAAAAAACCAGCATGCTTTTAAAAAGTACTTTAAAATGTAGATTTTGCATTTTGTAGATTCTGCTGCCCAAAGCAAACAGCGCTGGGGATACCACCCCTTCCCCAGGGAACCTACTACCGCTGTTGGTGGAAAAGCTTTATAATCACTGTCCATTTGCTCTCATATCCAACCACCATGCTATACCTGCCACAGCACTGCCAAAGCAGAGAGCAAACCCTCAGTGGGATGCACTGAGCCACACACCTGGTGTGGGGACGGCCTCCCCAGGCCCAGCTGAGCACAACGAGGGGCAAGGGCTGCCTGCTGCCCCAGGTGCACACACTCAGCACTCCTTTGTGAAGACATCCCACCTGGGTCTGTTCCTCCCTGCAGAGAGCCATGGGGGCAGCAAAAACTGCCCCTGCAGCAGTTTCTCTTCCCTAGCAGCCTCATGAAGTGGTTCCAAAGAATCCAATTCTTCGCCTTCTTGGTTTCACACCAGCTCATTTTGTGGAACAAATTCAGCACCCAGTTGCTCCCTGTGATGTCGAGTCACGCTATCTCTGCTATCCTCAGTTTTGAGCTGACCCACCCTTACTGTGCACACAAACTGTGCCAAGTGCTTCCGTGCATGCTGCAAGCTTCCCAACAGAGCCAGTGAGCACAGCAAGCACACCAGCACTAACAGGGTTGCTACAGAAGAAACTTTTCAGGGTCCCTGTCTTTCAAAGCTTTCAGCCTTTCTCGCTCACCCTCAGCCTTCCTATACCTTTCTTTACACAGGGGAAGGCCATTCAGTCCAGCACTGAACATCACCCAGCTGCACCAAACACCCTCTGGCCCCAGCACTCCTCAGTAAGTGCTGTCGATGCAACCAAGAGCTCTACTTCAGCTGCACAGATGTTCTGTGTTTGTCTTCTACATGGTAATAACACTGCTGCAGCGTGCATTCAGACTCCAGACAAAGGCGGACATTCCCTACAGACCAGCACAGCACCCAGACAGTGTGTGCTCCATCAGCTGCTCCCACACAGGGCGGAATGGACAGCTTCAGCAACTTCATGAGACAAACATAGGAATGTGTCACAGGTAAAATGCTCATTCCTGGCTTCTTGAACCAGAATTCTGTGCCCACACCCTACAAGGCATCCCGGCAACTTTCCATCTCAATGTGCTGAATTTTAATAATACTGAAGAAGTTACATAGTAAAGATCAGCCCAGCTTTCCAAATGAAGCTTCTGGTTTGTTTGGGTGGCTTTTTTTTTTTTCATTAACTGGAAAAAAGACAACTTTCAAGGGTTTTTTTCTCACAAGCAGCCTGTTCTACAGCAAGATCATCTAAGAAGAGTAGATCAGAGTGAAAAAAGCTAGAAACTCAAGTAGAAAGTTGCACTATTAAACCTCTTTTCTACAAGAAATGCGTCCTGGCAAGGCTTCCATTTAGGATAGCACAACAGTCAGGCCTCCAGGGTTGCACTGATGCCCAACGTCATCAGCCAGGATTTGGCATCCACAGACACAGCCACTGCAGCTCCGTGGGGGGCCTGCCCCAACCCAGGGCATGTATCTGCCAAGGCCTCAAGGTTCAATATATTTGGCACAGGAGGTAGGAAAAGGTGCTCCTTCCATTCACTAATTCATCTTCTACACAGCTAGAAAGTGTTCTGAAGGTGCACAGGAGAT